TCTGGGGTAAATATATAAATAGGTTTATGAAAGTGTAAACAAATATTTTCCCATTTAAGTTAAAATAACACGTCAAATAATAATTATTGGAGAAGTCAAGCAACAAAAATCGGCGTTATATTTGTAAATTTTGAAGAACTAGTTTCGATGGTTTAAATACAGAACCATCTTCCTCAGCTACTTCTGTAGTTAAACCATCGAAACTAGTCTTGCAAAATTTACAAATATAATGCTGACTGTTGTTATTTGACTTCTCCAATAATTTTCCCATTTGTCGAACAATTTGGTACAGCCTGTCTCAAAATAACATGAACTGATGACTTGATTATAAGTATGCAGCTGAAATTTAATTATGAATATACATTATGTAGAGCCTTTCTGAATGGCTTAAAATAAATATTTAAAGTAAAATTTTTACTGAACATTACTTAGGAAATATTGATATAATTTAATTGAAATGATATATCATCATGGCAATCCATTCCGAGAACTACACAACGATGGAGCAAGTGCAGACAACTTGATTACAAGACTAACATTTGCTATGTAGCAAAGAATAGACACATCCTGTATTTGTAAGGTTTCTTAGACACTCTTTTATACTGATATTATTGCTCTTTCATACTGAGCATATTAAGTAAACATGTTATTTTTTCCTGATGTAGTGATAACAGTAAGATTATGGATAACATTCTAACTTACCCTGTGTATTTTCGTAATATTGTTTTGATGCATTTGAGACCAATGTTCATGAAATACATCTGAATTCGAAGCCTCTAACTGATACTATTCACAGTGATGTTTTAAATAATAAACTTTAAACTTCTGTTGCTGATTTTAATATTGCAAATATAGTCTTATTTTACCATGCTAGTTATTAACTTGGCCTAAGTTATTCATTTAAACTAGGAAATTAAAGATAATTAATTTATCACTAATTTTATATCTTATGAAAATGCATGAAGATTCTTAGTGTTGCTAAGTGCTATCTTCTCGGAAGTATCATTGTATTTCAGACTGTAATAATGTAAATAAAGTCTGTAAAGCACCCACATATTTGAGAGTTCATTTAGAGTAGAGCCACATATTTATGAACTCGTCAGTGTATGATTCAGTCAAGTTGAATTACAGGATGTAGGACAGGTAAGCATATTAAGAATTTGTAAGACCTGTACAAATTATTCTTTTCCTAGTAGTATCCCATAACATAATGACCCATGCTTTACTCAAGTCATTTTCTGAGTCATACTGACATATATATATTACGCATTTTAATAAAACTGTTTATTTAATACTTGCCAAAAAAATCTTGAAAAATACTTGTGGTAAGTCTCTTTACGTGATTTTTCTTTGGTGAGATCTACAGTAGCACCTATTTCAGTAAACTGAAAGAAATCTAAAGAGAAATTTGCTTTAATACATTGAGGTGACAAACATAGATTTCAGCATTTAGTAATGTACAACCACAAGATTAACTTCACTTTTAAAAAGACACTTACATTATGGTAAGTTTGCAGCATAATGTCCCAGGTACTGCAGAATGGAAAAAGGTTGAAAAATGTACAACCACAAGATTAACTTCACGTTTAAAAAGACACTTACATTAGGGTAAGTTTGCAGCATAATGTCCCAGGTATTTATAAGGAACTGCAGAATTGAAAAAAAAAAAAAAATTTGCTTGATAAAGCTAAAAGTTAAAAAAAAAAAAAAAAAACGCATTCAGCAGAGTTAAATGTTATATAGTCTACTTGAATACATGAATTATAGTTTACTGCGGAAAATCTGAATCCTACTTCTAGTAACAGAATGACATTACTAGTTTACACCAAACTTCTTTTCCAATAGATTTCAGTAGATATTAACAATACTCATATTAGTTTTTTATTGATATTAGCACTAGTTTATTTCATGATGCCCTATTGTGAAAATAGGTACATATTCAGAAGTCAGCAAGTACATAGTCCTGTCGACTTTAAAAAAAAATTCTGTTTACTGTACAGATTTCATTTACTTCTGATCATCCTTAGCATACAGTTATGGGCATCATACATATTGCTGTCCAAAATTATCTCGTTCTTCTCCGGAAGTATTCAGTAAAATTTTGTTAAATGGTAATTAATTCTTCAACATATAATTTCATCTACAGAAATTAATTATGAATATATATGAAATTTATATACTAAATGTGTCTTTAAATATTAAAATTATGAGTGAAAAAGAGGTTTTAAAAAGAAATTAGACAAGTCAAAATCAGATTAAAATTTATGAATCATATTTTGAGAAGAAAGGTATTTTTATAGCTAGCACAGATTACAGCGAGGTTCTGTACTAAAAATTAAAGGGTAAATTAAAAACCTGAGACTCCACTTTTCCATGAAAGCATTTTTTTAATACTTTGAAGAGAGGTATGACTGTATTCGCTAAACAAATTCCCTGGTCTGACAATCTAAAAATGGTTATCACTTGCTTGTGAGAAATATTTGTTTCAAGTCATGCACAAACGATCCAGTGAAAAAACTGCATAATTAAAATAATTAATTTCTTTACTAAATAAATGTCTCCACATTATGTTAAATTACAATGATATAATATCATAGCAATTTTCTCTTTTTTTACTGTTTGGTACTGCTATTTTGAACAACTCATTTTAAATATATTATTTTATATCCTTAAATTTCTAGGGCTTAGTTTCTAAACCTATAATTTGTAACTGTATAATAACTGTTCAGGTTAAAATTGTTTCAGATGCTAAACTAGAATTCAAATATGAGGTTACTTTGCAGTTTTTTAAATTTAAAATACATAAATAAAAAATTATGATTTCAAATTTTTGAAATTATTTTTTATACATTTTTAACATTTTATAATAGTTATGTAATCTTTAAAAAATTTTAATAGTAAACCTTATTTTTGTATGTCCGATTGTAATCAGATAAGTTAACACTGCTTTGGTAGTTTCTTGGAGAAGTTGCAGATTCTAAAAATTTTCCATAGTGTACCTCAAATATTTTATATCAAGTTTAATTGTAATTGTGGTGCTTTGGAAGGAAGTCCTCATTCATTATTGCCTGAATGTTTAATTCTCCATAATTAACATCAAACTGATTAAAGTTTTAATAATAATTACTCTTAGTAGCAATACTGTTGCTGTCAACATTATCAAAATCTAAATCAAGATCAGTATCAACAAACATCATGAATAACCATAAAGAAATACAAGTGATCATTTTCATTTTCATCATCATCATCATGTTAATGTCATCAAAATACAAATCAAAATCATCATTATTAATATCAGTTTCATCATAAACTTCAAAATATGAAAAATTATCATCCTCAGGTCATCCACGATATGCTAAATCAAGCTCAGTTCATAAATCATCTGCTTCACCATCATCAACATTTTTCAGTTTAAAACAGACATATTTTGCAGTTTCATTTCATTTTATTCAACTATATTATAAGTTATACAAAATCAAAACAAATCTTTAATTAATTAATAAATCTTTAAGCCATCTTCTATTACCTCATTTCTGATTATATTCTAATCATCACTCAAGATCCCAAACATAAGAATCATGACGAATAAAATAAATATAGTATTGCAAATGTAATATTTGTTTATATAATAAATATATGATTAAAAATTGAATTGCAAAATAAATGATATCACAGTAATAGTAATATACCACACACAGGCACTCAAATTCAAAACTCAGCTGTTGCATCATTTTTAAATTGATTAAAAGTTCATTTGTAATTTAATTAACAAACAATTCATAAATTTTTGTTTGTTAACTTGAAATATTTTATATTTAAATGTAAATAACTGATAATATATGACAGTCACTGTGACTTAACTTAATTTGTAAACATATACATGGGCTAATGTTACATAATTTTCTAACTTAATGATACAAACTTCATGGGTGAAATGATTACATACCTTGATGTTAGAAGACAGATTTCATGATCTCATTTCTTTCGAAATTTAAGCACGTCAAGTATCATTTTGAAATTGAATCTAGTCATATAACATTAATCTTAGCGTTGTTGTTGCCAACTCTTACATTTGTACTGGAATTCAAATACATCCACTTCTGATATCAGATTAGAGTGATAAATTAGAGGCATTCTTATATAAAAGCCTTCTTTATAAAATCATCTGGGTACTTCATGAAAATATTTTGTCTTATTTTTATGTGTCTTAATACAAAAGTCCCTGTTGTTGTAAGCTGTAAAGTCAGCTCTTGACTGTCATTACATATGACATATATTAATTTTCTGAAGATAACATTCTCCTTGCTACTTTATTCAGCTCTTCAAATTATAATTCCAGTATCTAACAATTATCTCTATATGATTACAATTCATACAGAACTATACAAACATTCTACTAATTCAGTTGTGGACTATTTTGAGTGTACTTCTGAACAGCAGTAATTTTTCACAAGAAAAATAGCAATAGCAATAGAGGAGTTTTTCACAAGAAAAATTCCTCTATGTGATAATTTGCAGCTATTACGAAAAAAAAATCAGATGCGAATACCACGACTTGCTAGTACAGAATATTAAATTTTATGCATTTTTTGCAGTATTTCTTTAAACTTATTTCCTTGAAATTCATTTGAGATATATTTCTAATTCAGTTCTCACTTCACAGCAAGGAAAAATATAAAAAAAAAAACCTCAAAATATCTTCATTAAAAATTTAAAAATATAGAAAAACATAAAACACCAAGTACAGTTAAAATAATTTAAAAAAAAAAAAAAAAAAAAAAAACCTTTCACAGTTAAAATTAAGAATTTCTACACAAAAGCAAGCTATTCGGCAAGAAGGCAGATTTTTCAGTGCAAAAAACTGAAAGTTTACTTTTGGTCCCACTCGACAAAAAGACACCGAAGGTACGGAAACTCACTTAATTCACTATTCTGCTAAGTTTTAAAGGTAAACAAACAGGGCTGCTATGGTAAAAAAAAAAAAAAAAAAGGGGGGGGGCTTAGCCACACTTATACAACTTTTAAATCATTGATCATTCTACAACTATTGCATGCAGATTAGCTACAGGCATTAAAAACCTTAACTGGAAGATAAGACCAACCTAATTCAATCATTTTGAATCAATTTGAACAGGCAACCTCTAGCTGAATTTTATCATTAGATGCCACAATTTCAGGGACATTTGCTGCCACTCTTCCCATCTATCTCCCTTTGTTAGAATAGTTATGACGTCAAAAGTCTAAATTTAACCTTATTTTAATTTAAATCATTATTGTATATGTAATTTTGGAAAATCTAAAATAATCCAAAATCTGCTATTTGAACTGAATAAAGATGTGGAATCAAAACAGCTAACTTCTTTGTCATCATTATATGCCAAGTTTCTTCACTCCTGTGCTCGACTGCCAAAATATGACATATATATATATATATATATATTTACAATGTTATGGCATTAAAAGTTTATTCAAATAGGTTTGAACGGAGTTAAAACTTTAAAATTGTTCAAAATAAACAGAATTTGTTAAAAGTGTAAACAACAAACTAATCACAATAAAATCAATTAAAGACTATTAAGTAACAACTTGATACATCAATAACACTTTTTAAAGATATCAGTGAAGTTACAGAATAATTTTAAATATAGTATTTAATGGTAATTTTCAGTGGTCCGCCCTATATAAAATATAGAAATAATTAAAAGCCATCTATAACTGATTTTCTTTAACTTCATTTATGAAATTTGTGTTACTTGCTCTTCTTGGAAATCAACCAAAACTCGGTTCCATTCGAATCGATTTGTTGCATACATTGTGTTGCTTGTAACAACATAGAGTAGCCTGTAGAATTCTTTTATAAGCTGAGGCTAAATTTTAAAAGAAAATATATACAATAATTATAATGCTTCAATGAAATCTTAAATAATTACAATAATATCAAAATAAGACAGGTCAGCAATTTGCTTTTACCTATTTTAATGTACTAAAAATGTCTTTGAAGCCATTGGTAAACATAGGGTCATCCGTAAAGTTCTGCAGTTTTTCAAAGCAAAGTGTGTTTTCTTTTGATTATTTTGTTACTGCTGATAAGGAGTGTTGTTTAATCAAGTGGATGTTTAAATATGGTCTTTTCTGGTCATGCTGTGTAATTATAGCATGTCAGGTGGCTAAATTTTTATTTGCTAAAAAATAAGAACATAAAATTTTGTTTTTGTCATATTATGCTCTTTTATTTCAAAAAGGGAAAAAATGCTAGTCAGACTGTTCGTAAAACTTATGCTACATATTGACAAAATGGCTGTTTTTTTATGAAACAATTTGCAAGCGGTTTGAGAAATTTACCCTTGAATATGATAAATGCTTCACCTACCATCTGTAAACAAAGATCTATATGAAGAAACTCTCTCTGAAAATTCACATTATGCAGTTTGGAACTATCAAGCAGACTAAAGATTCCAAAAAATACAGTACCTAATCATTTGAAGAAGACTGGGTACATGGGCTGCCTGAATGTACAGCTTCTTTAAGAGAGCCATGTATGCTTGGTCAAGTTTTGCCATATGATTCCTCGATGAAAAGAAATGAAGAAGCAACTCTTCTTAAATGGCTCATTACTGGGGATGAGAAATAGACATTATACAATTATGTTATTTAAAAAATGATGTGGGGACAACAAAGGAATGAATTGTTGCAATGAAATTAAAAACATTCAGAAAAATACTGTTCTCAAATGGGAGTTCTAGAAGAAAAACTGAAGAAAAGCCCCATATTTCGATGTATGGTGGGCTTTGTGTTTCCTCCTTATATTCATCAAATCTTGTCTTCTTTGATTTCATCTCTTTAGATGACTTTAAAATTCTCTGAACGACATGGGGTTCACTTCTTTGAAGGTTGAACAGCAAATCAATAACATCTTTGTAAATAAACCTAACAACATTTTTTAAAAAAGAAATTTTCTAGCTGCCAGAGAGATGCAAAAAGCCAAAACAAAATGGTGTTTATGTAATTTAATTAAATGTTTTCATGCTTTTGTGCTGATTCATTGTATTTATGATCAGACAACTGAAGAAATTTCTGGATGAATACAACAGATCTAGTATACTACAGGGTATAGAAAAAAAGAGCATTGAATAACTTTTGAATGGAAAGAGATTTTTATTCAGGATTTATGCATGAGAATAAAGGAAATCAAAGATAAGTTTCTCAAAATGTTTGCAATCTGAGGAGAAAATGAAACACAGTTTATGCTCGAAATTTGTGATATCCTGCTTGAGTTGATCTGTTGACCCACAAGAAATCTGTTATTTTAGTTTGCTCGATGGCTCTTTCAAAATTTGTAATATGGAGGCAATTTTCAAGCTCCCTCTTGAATTCTTGGCTTCTTTCGACACAAATGTCTCCGGTCAAGAAAAACTATTCAAGATTTTTTGCTAAGGTAAGTTTTTCTCATAAATTTTTTGGAGTAAAATAAGTAATTTTATTAGAGCTTCATCTTCAGAATTGATTTGATTAACAATTTGAGGTGAAATTTCCACTAAATCTTTATTGATTTATTTTCCCACTAATAATTATTGGACATCCTCAACAGCTATATCCAAAAAACCTGCGCATCTGATCAATTTAATACATTCTAATATCCCCCCCCCCAAATCTCATTTTCTGAGGATTCAAGTAAGCTTTCTACTGACACTGGAAATATCTTTTTTCAACATGCATTTAAAGTTGATTTTCTTTTAGTTCTTTAACTAAAAGCTACATGATTTCAACACAAGTTTTAATTGAAAATGCCTTCCAGCCTTTCATTACAACAATTGATATTGAATCAATTGTGTCTAAAAACCACTGAAATGTAGTAAAATTCACTGAAAGTACATTTTAAAGTTATAAATAATATCTTAATCTAAAGGTTGGATCAAAGTGTAGTGCTTGGTGGTAAGCACTTTACTGTGTCATTACGATATGTTAAATCCAGTGGTGACTTGGAGCATTATTTAGTAGTAACAGCACCTCTAAGCTCATATATATACAGTACAAAATCTTTAATCCGAACTCGTCGGGACTTCGGCGATTCCGGATTAGGGGTTTTTCAGGATTATAGATCATCAATTTAAATCTGGTAAGATGGCATGCAGAAATTATAAAATTTAAAAATATGAAACTGAAATTTATGAAATAAAGAGCAATTATGATCTAAAGGGTATCAAAATTTACAAAAAAATAAAAGCTTAATATTTATTTGTTTACTTTATTAAACATTTCTTTCAATGTAAGTTGTTTAAGTTTCTTCGTTTTATGAGCTAATACTTTCTCTTTAATTCTATAAACAGACATAATTTCTTGTTCAGTTACAAAGTTCCGCTGTTCAAGTCCAGAATCGGAAACTCTTTTTGACATAATCGAAAGTTCAAGCTTACTTTTTATAACATTGCTCTAACAGTCTGCAAAAAATAATAAGCTGGATCCAATTAGAAGATTAAGGAACAACACAATCTGCAACATTAACTGAAATGAATAATTTTAGCCTAGCTTATACCGTTCGTTATACATTAAATGCACATAGATAAACGTATTATGTGCATGTGCAGAAAGTTTGTAGCTTTGAGGTCGGGATTATAGATCATTCCGGATTATGGACGTCTGGATTAAAGACTTTGTACTGTATATATATATCTGCTTTAAATAGTTTCCAACCTCCAGCATAAAATAGTTGAAAATCCAGTCTTTCTTCTGTCACCTAAGCTTTTGAGTTTGCTCTCCAGTCTACTGATGTGTTTTTAATCACACCTTTATGAGCCCTGGGATTACAATTCTATAAACTAACAAGGGCTTTTTCATTAAATCCCCCAATCCACTGATACACTAGTTATGTGATCTTTAGATTCCTTAAAACTTAATGCATTTTGTTTTTCTTTTCTTGATACAAAGGTCCTCTTGGGCATTTTTCCCACCAATGTTGAGTCTCATCGGTATTAAAAACGTGATGTGGCGCATATTCTTACCCTTCAAGGTATCCTTTGAATTTTTTCTGGATATGTTTTGTCAGCTTCATGATCAGCCATTTTTATGGAAAATGTAGTGACTATTTTAAATTTCTCAAAAATTATTTAAGCCAGTATATTTTTTCCTCCACTTTCTCCTAGAATCCTATATTAAAGGTAATGGAAATTTTAACTTATTAAAGCAAAATGAGTAGTTTCACTAATTAGAAATTTTACTTTATAAGGATGAAATACAATGTTAAATTTTGAGTTTATGTAGCATTCCATGTACTGTATGTTATGATAAAATTTTCTACTTTAGCCTGAGTATCTTTGTAATTCAAAGCACAAATCTAGGATCAAAGTCTGTAGAAACCTTTTCCGAACACTCTATACAACATACAAACGGTTATTGTATTGTACAAAAAGGTTATTCTATTGGGCATTCTAGGTTTCAATGAGCTATAAAGCATAACATATATACATGCATGTAGGCAAATTATAACAGAAAAGTAACCTAACTCTTTATAAAAGTACAGATAAGACATAAGAATCTTAAAATTTTAGTTTTGATAAAGATATAAATAAGATATTTTCACCATATTTCAAATAATGCAATTTATATTTAGGAAGCATAAAAATGTGCTAAAAATGCAGGCAATTAAAAATCTAACCTGATTGTTGCAAAGCTGGCTGATGTTTGATCGCTCTTTAGATGTAACATATAGGTAATGAAATAACTTTCCATCAAAAAAACGCCAAGGCATGGCATTCTGGAGATCAAAAGGAAAGCCACATGTGCCCAAAACCATAATAGCTGTTGCTACGCCACGCATGAAAAGAGTAGCTAAATGGACTGCTGTAGAATCTACCCATGGAACCTAAATTTAAAACAATAATTTTTTAATGCAATGAAGATCAAATACATATGACATTATAAACTCTCAGTATTTTACAATGATGATTATAACAACTTGTACGATTAACTAAAATTAAATACCTCCTGAATAAGAAAAATAAAATTTTTCAAAAACTAATTTCTTTCGAAGTTTATTTACATACCAATTTACTTGCACATCATCCCTTTTTTGCTTACAAATTTTATTGTACAAAAATTGATAGGGAAAAATTATGAGAATAGCTTAATTTATGAAAGAAGCGGTTACAGTAATAAACATAACAATTAAAAAATATTCATGGATAAACTACTCGTAACTATCACAATATAATTTATGTAAAAGAAACATACACTGTCATAAAATTACATAGTAATATTAAAATTACAATATCTAATAAGATATCTTCATTTCTATTTCTCTGTATCTTGAATCTTGCCCACTCTCATTTTTGTCTACTGCTACTTCCCTGGTCTCAAATCATTTAGTGCTATTGGAACTATTGTGTCTGTTCCATTTGCTACAATTTATAAATCATTGCCATTATCTTTATCACCATTTAGTTTGTCTTTTCACATGTAATGATTTTCAAAAACATCAAGAGCATTAGACAACCCATTTTCTTGAAGCTTTTCACCATCATTGCTCCATCAATCAGAACCTATGCATGCAAAATCCATGAGCAAATTAATTAATAAGACAAAAACAATCACATCTATGAATATTTTAAAATTTAGGGAAGCTTGCTTTCTGACTGCTTTGAGGAAGGAGAAAGTTACATGAATATTCAGAATCTTGGACTAAAAAGCTGAGCGGGGGTATAGAGAATAAATGCGTAAATAATTGCTCATGACATTCTGTAAAACTATCACTAGATTATATCCATTCACTCCTAAAAACTGTATTGCATTTTTATATACAAGGGGTGATCGAATGAAAAGGTACGAAATGACGTAAAAACGTAACAGTTAAATATTTGCATATTCCACCATGGGAGACCGTGGCAAGACATCTCGGGATGCGATTGGAGTCTCTAATTGGGATCGGAGCATGCACGGGCGCCCGCATGCGCAGGAGAGAGCAGAGGCTCTTATCAAAAGTGGCGTCCAAATGATGTGGCAGTCCGTATGAGGACAGGATGGCGTTCGCGTTGCAAAATTCAAAGACTAAGGAGCAGCGATGTGTTAACCGATTTCTGACAGCGGAAGGTGAGAAACCAGAAGCTTATTCATCGCCGGATGGTGACAGTTTACAGGAAGAAATGTGTCTCTGACAAGTCTGTCAGAAATACAGACCGTCAGAGTGTGGGTGATGACCCGAGACCAGGCCAGGCAAACACTGTCATCATGAGCAATCTCATCGACAAGGTGGACAAGCTAGTGAGAAGTGATCGGCGTGTCACATTGCAAATGTTGGTGGCAGCTATGGAACAATGTGGACAATTGTTCATGAAAGGTTGCGATATCGGAAGGTGTGTGCCGCTTTTCCGAAGCAGCTCACTGACCAGCAAAAGGAACTGCGCATGGGGCTAACACTGCAACATCTGTTTCGGTATCAGGAAGACCCCGCTTTTATGGAGCGGATCATCACAGGTGATGAGACCTGGTGCCATCACTACGAGTCAGAGACAAAGCGGGACAGCATGCAGTGGATGCATGCATCATCACCTCCCCGTAAAATGTTCAAAGCCGTGCCATCAGCAGGCAAGGTGTTGCTCACCGTCTTTTTCGACGTTCAAGGTCCGCTACTTGTGGAATTCCTCGAGCACAGAAAAAATATGAACTCCGATGTGTACTGTGAGACACTCCGACGCCTACGTAGGTCCATCAAGAACCAAAGACCGGATCTGCTCATGGAGGGTGTGGTTCTGCTCAATGATAATGCGCGTCTACATGTCTCCAGAGTCACACACATGGAACTGGCCAAGTTCAAGTGGAGATGTTGGACCATCCACCCTACAGTCTGGACATGTCGCCCTGCAATCTCCATGTATTTAGTCCACTGAAGAAACACCTGAAAGGGTACTCAAGGATGCTGTGAAGGACTGGGTCTCGTCATGGCCACAGGAATTCTGAAGGAATCCTGCGGCTTGTTCATCAGTGGGATCGTTGTGCTCAGGCCTATGGTGTACATTTTAAACAAAGTCTACATTTGTACCCACTGTCTCATTTCATACCTTTTCATTTGATCACCCCTTGTACATTCCAAATCTTCTCCTATAATACAACTTCTGAGTCCAAGAATTTAAGACTATAAATATACAGGGTGTTTCAAAACTGAACCTACGAATTCAGAGGAGTAATAGTAAGCAACAAGAGAGTGAAAAATTGCCATAGAACATTGGGTTCCCATGTTAAGTGGAAGAAAATCGCAAAAATAGTTACAAAGGGTGTGATGTTAAGTGGAACAAAATGGGCCAATAATAAGTAGAAAAGCATTTATTTGATGTTACACATTAACAGGATCACAATGCATTACAGTTTAACGTCAGAAAGGAGACTATGAGACATTTTAATAAGAATCTTTCAAAGAGAAGACAGTGAAGGTCATTCCACAGTCGACACTGATGGACAAAGGATTGCCCAGCATGTTCAAAAAGCCGGTGCGCTGCTATGTCTGCTGAAGTGACAACAATCTGTGCTGTCAAATCCTCCAGTGTCATAATAACTGATTTCAGGTGACCTCTGAAGAAGAAATCTAAAGGATCCAGGTCCGAGGGGTATGGAGGCCAGGGAACAAATCTGCCACACCCAATCCATCTCCCGGGATATGTAGCATTGTGGTAGTTATGCATCACAGTTGCAAAATGTGCTGATGTACCATCATGCATTAGCCGCATGTTCTGCTACACAGTGGCCAGTATTGCCTGCATCAAATCTGTGAGGACATGCTGTGGGAAAACAAGGTAATTTATACCATTGAGGCATTTGGTAGAAGGTACAGTTCCAACAGATAATCTCCAAGAATCCCCGACTAGATATTACTACCAAACATGTGTTCCGCTTTCAACGAGATAGTGCTGTGAAGATGTTTGGACGACCATATATGTGCAGTGTGTTGACAAACCTTCTCTCATAAAGCAGTCTTCTTCTAAGAATAAACCAGTGGCAGAAAACTGGAAACACTCTGTGTGGCATCAAGTATCCAGCATATGAACTATACCTGAAGGTGTAATTGGCATCGCCTAGGAGTTGGGCCAGGAAAAGGTGCATGTTTTCTGCACACAGAGACTTCCAAGCCATGTTTTGCTGAATACCCAGTTCAGCTGCAACCAATCATGTTCTGGCTGACAGAGTAGGGTAATCGTCAAAACATTGCAATACTTGGTTTTTTGTTTCAGGTGTGCATACACTGCATTCTTGTTCAGGCTCATTGTTCTCTTAGTATCTAATTTTGTGATTTTCACCAACTAAATGTGATTTCTGCCCCCATGTTCTATAGTAATTTTTCATTTTCTTGATGCCTACTATCACCCATCTGAATTTGTTGGTCAAATTTGGCAACAACCTGTATATGCACAAATCAGTAATATTTATCCATAACTGCTACATACCTATTATTAAAATCTGTAAAAAACTCTCTGAAAATATTTAAAAATATAAATACTGACATAAGCTTTTTTAATCTAGAAGACAGGAAAATTAAATTTACATATAAACTAGCTATAATTGATTTCTATACCGATATTATAACATCATAGAATAGTTTATATTAGATAGTTTGGTAATTTTCAATTAGAGCCATACCACACATTTTGGCTCATTTCTTTTTCCATGCTTTTGGCTAAATAGTAGACATTTTCTCAAAATTTTTGTTCATTCTTTTAAAATTTTCTTATCTTTTTATAAAATTTCTGTCAGTTTTATCCTTGAAACTTTTTTAAAACTCATGTCACCATCTAATAGAAATAAGAATAAAAAAACAGCAACTAAATTTTATAACAAACTGCTATTAATTTGAATTTTTGCTTTAATTACTGTCTATACCATTTTCTTGAAGAATATTTTACATTAATGAAAAAAACCTCCAAAAATGCAAAAGAAGTTTTTAATAAGATGAAATGTTATGCTGATAAATAAAATAATTTTAATACGCAAAAGAGTATTTTCAAATAACAGTGCATCATTTAAGCATACAAATGATGTACTGCTGTCTTATATAATAAAATGGAAAACTCATAACATTTAAATAACAACATACCTGCAATTTTTCAAGGACTTCAACATTTTTTTCCCATAAAGCTTGAGCAATAAAAACTGCTACTTCCCAAGGCTGAAGTATTCCATGTGTTTCACTTTCTCCAATCAAGTAATTTAATATACAGCACAAGACTATGTGATGTTTTGGCAATATATGCAGAAGTTGAAAATCTAAAGGTGCTTGAAATATTGAGCAGAATAACTTGAGTTTTTCTTCTTCAGTGAATGTGAACCATAGTTGTTCAATACCTGAACACTGATCTTAGAAACAAATTACTTAAAATTAGTGATAATTTAAATATAAATTTATAAGAATATATTTCATCATATATTAAAATAATTATGACTAGAGTCTCATTAATAAATAATAGAGATACTGAAAACCATATTTAAATATTATCAAAAAGATCAATCGTATTGTGGCATGTAACTAAAAAATTTATAGTAGTTAAAAAAGTAGTCAAGAAATTTATAGTAGTTCTTAATGCTTATTTCATTAAAAAAATGAAAAGAAGTTTGAGAGATGTAAATATAAATCTCTGAACTGGCTTAAACAATGTGTATAGGAAGGTGTCTTAGGTAAAGCATACTAAAATGTGGGACCTTTAAAAAATATTGCTGTCTTCATAAAGACAATTTGAGGTGTGCATATACGGAATTCAAATAAAGCAAATTCCATGCACTTTATTCCACCTTCTTTCTTTGATTGATCAGCATCTTTTTTATCCTACATCACCATTACTGTAGATCCCAACAATCCTGAGGTAATTAAAACAAATCTTCGGAGAAAAAACAAAATCTTTGTTAATTTTGTCCAAAGCACTGTTCTGTGTGATGTGAATTATGGCATTGTGCTCTTTATTTTCTCTGTGATTTGTATGGCTCCATAGTACACAGATGATGCTTAGAATACAAAGAGCATTCCTTGACAGCTCAGAATCAGTGGTGGGTAATTGTGTTAAAACAGATCATATCAAAATGTTTTCCTAAGAATACATTTAGCTAATTCAAAAATTAGCTCATCAAAAGGGATGATTTAGTTACTCATCATGACATCTAAGATGTAAATATTCTGACTGATAAAAAAGAAGCAAAATAAACTACTTCATCTAATAAGTATGTAACAAATATTAAACTTACAAGTTAAAACCCAAGCAAATTACTTTGCTATGCGAGCTTCATTTCAGAAGCTGAAAAGCAGCAATGAGTTAAATGCAAATTTTACCATTACATTAGTCCAATCAGGAATTTTAGTATCCAATAAAAATAATCCTGCATTCAAATCAGTCCTTAAAAATCACAAATAAACCATCAATAGCAGATGAGAACACTTAGAGGAAAAAAAAAATTACATAAAGCCAAGTTATGAAAATACAGTAATTAGGCATGCAGTAAAGTAACAGCTTAATTGCTACCTTGTTTACCTATATGCACCTTCCTCCCAAAAAGTATTCACGCAGTCACCAAATTAAGCAATCCATGATGTTGCCAATATGTATTTATGTTGCAAACTAGATATGTGCATGCATGCAGCAAGCAGATGAGCACCGAGTCCCAACTAGCAAAATTCTTCATCATAATTAAGTGGATACATAGATCAGATATACACCCTTCTGCAAAAACTTTCACAAATTCAAGATGTTTTGTATCTGTTCTACATTTAGTGGAAGCAGCTGCTGTTATGCAAGCCTGACAAGTGCTTAGAAAAGGAGTCAATATTTCTTGTGGTGCATGGATATGAATACTTGGCCTATGTGATTCAGAGTTTAGGAGAACAAAGTATGGAATACGAAGAGTAGTGGAAGAAGCTCACAATTATTAAGAATAACTACTGAATTCACCAAAAGGCACACTTGATTATGATAGTAAATTTGAGGAACAATGAAGATATGAAAACTTTTGCCACTTCAACTAAACTATCTTTTCATGTTCTTACAAAATAAACTTGGTTGATCTTGAATGGAGTTTCTCCAAATACAAGGAGCTTAAAATACTAATGATCTATTTTTTAAAATGTAAAAATTGTGAGCCACTAAATATATATTTATTCACTAAAGATAGATGCTTATGTTATTTATTGCAATGTGAAATTATTACTCATCAATAATAAATAAAAATAATTAATATAGCTGTTATAGAATTCAATAAAGACATTATATTAGAATCTTATAATGTGCATTTTCAGTATCTCTTTTTCCCCTTTTTTGATAATTTTGCATCTTAAAGTTCTTTCTCAACTGACTTTCTGCATACCTGCATTTCTGCATGGCTTTCTGCATACCAAATTATTTCGGCCAATTATACCAATATGATCTCACTTACATAAACTTCTATATTACTCATACATATTTTTATAAAACTTTGTGCATACTACAATTATATTAACTACATATTACATACAGTTAATATAATTGCAGTATGCACAAAGTTTTACAGAAAAAAAAAAAAAAAAAAAATGTGATTAAGAGAACACAAAAAAGTCATATGGTCACATTTATATTAATTGCATACAAAATCTTAAATTAATGGATGCATAAATTTATGTTTAACTTTTAAAATAATAACATATAAAGATGGCTTTTCCACAGTAAATTAAAAGAAAAAGATAGTAAATTTTAAAATATTTGGGTATAACAAAGTAATCTTAGTTTCATAAAATAGTGGATATCTAAAAATTGTATAATATCACTAACCATATTAGTTTTTTAACACCATACATCCTACAGAATTTAAAATATTATTTTAATATCCTAAGTTTTAAGTTGTGTATAACATTGTATGTTTCAAATAGATAAAGCTTTGATTAGAAGGATTAATTACATAGCATAATGTTTTATAAGCTTTCTAATATACTTTATACAACAAGTATCAAACAGAAAATTTATCAGAAGTGTTTGCATTAATTTTGCAAATAGAGAAAAGCTGAATAACTAACTCACTTTGATAATCTTGAAATTTTACAGGTAAAGCTTCAATACTTTCTGGGTTCTCCATGTTGTTGCCATTATAAGCACACCATTCTTTAATTGTAACTATTCTTCTGTTATTGCCCATATTTTGATATGAGTGGTCAATCTGCAAAAAGCAACTAAAGAGCACTCCATAACATCTTTGCCTTATCTTTCGATATATTAAAGCAGTAGGTGGCCATAATGCATCTTCTAACACCTAAAAATGAACAAGTAAAAAAAAAAAAAAGAATTTTAAAATGCTGATGAATATTCCATAGTTTCCTGAAAAAAAAAAAGAAAGAAGAAAGAAACTGTTATCACTCAAAATAGCTAAGGATATAACAAATAAACACACACACAAAAGAAAAAAAAAAAAAATCATCACAATATTTAAATTTTGAGGATAAATCAATCTTTTTCAGAAGGGGAAAAAACTACAACTTGTAAATGATTTATTGATTATTCATCTTAGAATAAAACTTTTATGCAACTCATTTAAAATATGCATAAAACATTGTTAAATAACCTATGGGTAAAAAAATTATTGAAAAACTCGATATCAAAAATTTTAAATATGCATAGCCTTAATAATTTAAAAGTTGTATTAAAAATTCGGCTGATCTTTAGAATATGGTAACTGGTAGTTTGGCGACATTTTGGAGGTGATAAAGGTTACTACCTGGGACTTTGGTAATAATGTGAGCAGTACTCAGTTCCGATTACGCATTATTTTGTGTGAGGGAAATGAGAGATCGTGGGATATGTCATGTGATATTAATGGACGAATTACGGTTCTTTAATCGGAAAAGGGGAGAATTTGGAAAAATATCTGTGGCTGTATATTATTTGTATTAAGTTTCATTGTGTGTTGTGTGAAGTAGGGTTGAAAATTTGGGATTGTATAGCGCTGTCTAAAGTGAAAATCGTATGAATGTTTGGAAGATGAAGGTTTTTAATCATCTGCTGTGAACCACAATATTATTTTAAAGATCCGGAAACAGGTGCACAACCAATACATAGAGGGCACATGGAGTGCTATAAAAAGCGCCATTCCGAGACATTGTGATAAGAGAATTTTGCTTTTTTATTTAGCGGAGGAAGTGTGGAGGAAAAATTTGCAGAAAAAATCGTTCAATAATTGTATGAATACATAAGAAAAGTGTATCCACCATGTAAGCAAGATTCTGAAGAAGTTAGGTAAGTTAGTATTTTTAATTATTGAGGATATTATTTTATGCATTGTTCTAAAAAAGTAGGGGTGGAAGTAAAGTAATTTGGTATTATTGGAAAATTGTTATTAGCAATGATTTAGTTTAAAGTAAATAGGATGTAAGCTAATTTTTATTAATTTAATGTTATGTGCTTATTTATATTTTAAGTAGTGTTTTTGAATTTAATTATATTTTAATTAAATGATAGTTATTTTGTGAATTTATATTTGTAGGAATTTGGTATAACGTTTTAGTTGAAGTAAACGTGCATGGAAATAATTTAAATATTTGACACTAAGTTTGTAAGTTTGCGGTATGAATTCGTTGGTGACGTTTCAATATAATAGATAATTTAGAGTAAAAGTTTTTGGGAACTACTCTGATATGTGTGCCCTTAAGTTGCCAAATTTTTCGCCAAATATTTTGGCGAAACTTTATGCTGGCCATATTACTATCTAATTTTTTGTCTACATTTCGAACTTTTAGCCTAAAATGTCTCCAAAAACGCGGTTTTCGCACATGCTAAAACTACGTTTTTGAACACACAATTTAGCTAAAATCCGAAACAAAAACAAAAATTTAGACAGCAAAAACGTAAAGTTTCTAACCAAAAATATTTCACAAGAATCCATGTACACAGCGATATGTTTTAACTTGAAAATACATCAACGAATTGCAAAATATAGGCAGCGAAGGAATCTACGAACTACGCATACTTCGCTTTGATAAATTAACATAACAACATTTAATTTCAAAGAATACCATGTACACAGCACCCTGTTTAAACTTTAAAAAAATCTACGAATTGCATAATTTAGGCAACGAACGAATCTACGAATTACTCACACCTCGCTTTAATAAATTAATATAACAACAATACATTTCAAAAAATACCATGTACACAGCGTTCTGTTTCAACTTTAAAAAAAATCTACGAATTGCACAGTCTAGACACTAAACAACAAATAAACTAAATAATTTCAAACATTTAAAAAACAACAATAACGACAGAAATTCATACTAAAGAACCAATGAACATAACATTCTACAAAATAAGAACAAGGATAAATAAAATGCACTTACCATGAATTAATGCGTTTTCGAATAGCAGAAATATAAATTTCATACCGCCTTTAACATGCGCCACGTAATCACTATCGTATTTATATGACAGCCAGACACACTATCCAGAAATTTATACTATGGTTCCAAATAATAAAATCACAAATCCCTACTTCTATCATGCACTGCCATTAAAAATAATCTCCCAGACCCTCTTTCCTTCCACACTTCCAAGTACCCACTACCCCTCAACAGGATACCACAATGATTTCCTTTGCCGAAATTCAACAATTACCATTTTAAATCTTTCCCTCCCATCTTCAGACACGAGGCGAATCAACGAACTCCAGCGAAAGATTTTTCAACATCAACAGGGTTGCCATAGAACACGCATCGCGCCAAAAACCAGCGCAGAACACATATTCCAAATTGGTGAAATTAGGGCGTAATTTAGAGTTGTACCGTTTTTGGATATTTTATTTTTTTTACGTGGAAATGTTCATATTTTGAAAGGTATATCCTTTTTCGTTATTAGGTAATTTCATATATTCTTTTTAACGGTTTAAAGATCAGAAAATTGCATGCATTTTCGTGAAATTTTCTAATTTTGAGAAAAGCAGTGTACATGATATGGTAAGAGTGTGTCGCAATGCCATTTTTGTGTATTCTGGGATGTTTTTTAAGTAAAAATAAGTCGACTGTACATGGTTTATGTGTATGTGTTATTTTGAAAAACGATAAGGAGTATGGTATTGTGCACTTTTCCCAATTTTTGCAGTGAATATTTGTCATGATTAAGCAGTTTTGTTAGATAATATTTCTAGCATAAGTTAATTCGGTAATAGATTGTTGGAAGAAGTGTTCATAGATAAAAGAAAAGAACATGTCTTTACTTCGTGAAGACAAATGGCGGCGGGAAAAAAAAAATAGAGAGTTGCTGCAGGAGAGTTGGTCGCCAAAAAATCGCCAAGTTACCATAATCTAAAGATCAACCAAAAATGAATTTATTCGATTAAGTAAGTTGTCATTACCTAAGAGATAAAGCCCTTCATTGTGTTAATCATTACCATGAGAGGCCCACCAGCGGCCGAGCGGTAACATCGCTGAACACTGGTAGTTCGGTCCGAAGTTAGAATCACGCCAACGGGCTGGCTGCATGGGTGTTTTCATGGTTTTCAACATGTGTAACGTGCATACGAGCCAGTTTCGCTTAAAAAGTCCTCCACAAAGGCATCCCTCCCTTAAGGCAGATAGCTCTCGAGTGTTTTGCTGTAATCTAATAAATCAAAACCAAACCATTACCATGAGCTTCAGTTAGCACTAAGCTATGGTGATAATTTGCCTGTTAGATATCTACCACACTGTTACAAACTATGCACTAGATCTTTAGTGTGTTCTTTTACTCATATGCTCCATCTTGTTCTGTCAACTTTAAAATCTTTAACATTTATTTTCTCAAGAAATGGCACCACGTGCATACCAACAGCCTGGCTCTTTGCTCATTACTCAAGCCAATGCTCATATTTAGAGAGAAATATTTCTCACATACTTTCCTCATATCTCGAATTTCTTGTATATAGAGGTGCTCGTATCTCGAGGTTCCATTGTATTTTCACTTAAAAAAAATTAGGAATTTAAAACCACATTAAAATTATCATGGTAACCAGACATGGGGTTTCATCACCAAAATTGAACAAAATTTGTCGGCGATCGAAGGGGCACCCAATTCTACACTAGAGCTGGTTATATATTAAATCATATGGTAAGTGTTTTCACATATCAGTTATTTATACACAGCCATGTTAGAATTACAAATCTTTCTTTATTTCCATTACATATCACTCACTGATGTTCCTTAAATGATTTAAGTTCTAATTCTTAAATTTAGAAGTTTTAAGACTCCAATGAGAGACTGTCAGGAGTGGTAAACAGAATTAAGTAAATAAAATAAAATATAATAAATGATAAAATTAAATAAAATGTAAACTTAGTTACATTAACAACAAATAGTTAAATCATAATACAGGAGCTCACTTATTTGGGGCTCTGTCTGGAATTATGATTTTATTTACAGATGAAATATCAAGACTTAGTTCTGGATGAATAAAAGACCTACATCATGTCATTATGATAACATATAACTGTATAAATACTATTTTAAAAGAAATGTGATTAAATTAATACATAACAAGATTAAAAAAAATCATATTACCTCACTTGACTCATACTCCTTATTACACAGTATATTGAATATAACTGGTGGATTAAGACACTGAAAATGCCTCTCATATACCATTCTCTCCACATCTGGATGAAGAGCTATACTCAGTCTTGGAGATGGAATCCGACAACCAATAGCATATGATTTGAGTCCATCACATATAAGTCTCGACCGGCTAGCATTACCAAAAACTTTTCTAGATATACTGTCAAGTTCTCTCATATTATTAAAATCGCCAATCCACCTTTCCATATTTATGACACTCACTAAATTTGAGGCAATCTCAGCAATAGAAGAACGGACATTCCTCTGGCACAGTCTTTGATGAAAAAATCTTAATTCTTCAGCTGGAATTATATCATTACCAACTAAACATGCAAACAGTGGTAACTGGTTCACATGCAAGTTCAAGTAACGAAATGCTAGACAATTCCTGTCATAATATAAGGTCTGTAAAGTATTTAAATCTAAGTGAGAAAGAGATAAATAAGGTTTTGTATTGTAAATAATAAAATCTGAATCTTGACTTAAAATAGCAAACACAGCATTGTTTGCTGTAGCATATTCTGCAATGACATCATCTGCTTCAGTATCTGTTTGATAGACTTCTGCTCCTAACTCTTTCAAAGCGAACCTGGTCAATGTACCCATAGACGATGGAAGCTGGAACAGTTTCTTATCGGGTTGAGAATGGTTAGCTTTAATATCATTAAAAATAGAAGAGATTTGTTTGTATTTACTAATCCGGCGTTTTACCCATTCTTTCCTTTTTCTTGAACAAACTGTGCCATCGAAGAAAAACACTAGTTTTACGCCAATTTCATTAAAACGTTTTATAAAATTTTCTAATTTTCTGACAAACTGGACCCATTGACCACCAAATACCCATTCCAGTGTTGTTGAGTAAAGTGGATATATAAGTGCCATACCATCTACCACAAGAATTGGTAGACAGTTGTAGCGATTTTTATGTTCTTCAGCTAACTGTGCAATTGACACATATCTACAAGCGTCAGGACACTGCTGTTCAATAAAATACTGAAGACCTTTTACTCCCATATTTGTGAAATTAAAAAATTTTGAATACCACGCACAACTGTTGAGAAAAATTTGAAAACATCAAAACATTACTGTTCTATGTAATAACAGAAAACACTCATTCTAAAATTAGGACAAAATGATACGCAAAACTAAATCTGTTCCCAAGGTATTTCTTTCAACATATTTGCAACAATACAGTTACAAAGTTTAGTACAAATATTCACACTAAAGCAAACATTTATATATATCAAATACTTTAAACATTGTCTTTTTCATTGCATTGATAAAAAAATTATTAACAAAACTAACTATAAACACGGCTTGCAACACAATCTACATCTTTTAGCCTGCTGGCAAAAACTTACCTAGATAAAAAAAGAGGGCCTTCTACATAAACTCTCCTACATTAATATTCCTATTAATAATTAATTTACCCAAATTCCGCAGTTGGTTTATAACGAGCCTCCAAATATAACGAACAAACTTTTTGTCTCATCCAATTTCCTATACACTTAACATATTTTATACGCCTATAGCGAGCCTCAATTTTATGGATGTTTTTGAGTCACACTTTTTTGTATTTTTCATATCTTTTCCAAAATATTTGCAAGTTTCAACTGAAAAATTAATAACTCTTAAAAGATTTAGAATGTTAGGTTCCACATTCCTTCAGTATCAGGAGAACGTAAACAACTTTATATTTTTGTTCTTCTATTTACAGCCCCATCGTTCTCTTTATTTTCAAATGTTATGCGAAGAAGATGTAACATCTAAGTTTTACAGAAGCATAACGCCCACTAAGCATACATCTTAGGATACCATACGGATTCCTTGACTGTTGAGTCAAAGATCTTGAGTGAACTCTATGATTCTTTGATCCTTTGACTAAGTTGTCAATCGAAGCTCTACTCAAGGCTGATGCTTTGACGGAAATTAAAAAAGTTTTGTTATTCAGAGAAAGAGGAAGTAGTTAATAGATTCTTATGAAGTTGGTTCTATGCATGTGATATGTCTTTTACGATTTTTTTTTAAAATATTTATTGGCTTATTTTGCTTCGATGTTTAAAATGCTGTCGAAGTTCTGTGTTCTGAATGAGAAGGGATTATTTTTTTCAGATCCTTCGAAAAATTTAGGGAATTCTTTTATAAGGGTTATTGCACCTTTGTTTTGCTACCGCACGTATTAGCTTATCTTGGAGGAACTGAATATATTCTTATTGGACATTGGCTAGAAAATCAATAATGATTTTTTTTTCACTTTCCATATTTTCTAGAAGAAAGAAACTCTTTTACCTAAGTCTACTGTGAAAATTTTCGGTGTCAAAAATTCATCCGTATGTTGAGCGGTAAACATATAGCCTTCTGTACTGAAGAAATGGAGGTAAGATGGGTATGATCCGAAAAAACACAGAATGGATATAGCCGAATCAATATCTGCCAAGAATAATAATATAGTTTATCCAAATCTGCAGTAGGTAAAACTAGCACTCGATAATTTTTACTTATAAATAAAATCTGAATAAACGAAAAAATTAAAGGCCAAGCATAATGAGACTGAAGAAACATTACCGAAATGGTTCGGCCACTCAAGTCGCAAACTACTGGCTAATTATAAATATGTAGATGAGTAATTGGAGGGGCGGATAAAAAGCATGACTTTCTAAGTATTTATCGTATTAAATTTTTAACGCACGGTGAAACAGGGAAATAATGAAAAAGAAATTTATTAATCCCACTTAAGAATTGAAATTAACTCTCAAGACTCTTTTAGCTAAAAGTTCTTATTAAAATTTTGGGGAGGTCTTGCAATGCTAAACAGTCGCTTTTGTCATTTGTCAATTAAATTTTAACCTATGTTGTGAAATGATTTTTTTTTTTTTTAAAGTCAAAAATTCAAGAGACATGGGAAGTTTGGGCGTCTTACATTGGATAGAAGCAAGAAAAACAAAAAGAATTATTTGCTCATAATCGATGATCATTTTTCAAAGTGGGTAGAAATAAATCCTCTCAAAAGAGCTCCCGCTAAAATTGTTACAGATTCATTTTTAAATAAATTTATATTTAAATAGTGTTACGGATTTTTTGGTATTTAAATAGCTAAAGTTAGTTCAATTATAAATTAAATTGTTTTATTCCCCGTGCACTGCAGTGCGTAATGAATATTAAAGGAAAGCTAAGCCGGAAAATTAAAAATACAAGAACACGTGCATTTAACATTTAATATAAACATCTTCTTTTGTTTTCGAGAAAGTTCCAAAAAATTCTTGCGCGTGATTTTAAAATCTTACAAAAAGGAGGAAAACCTCTCAATTCGATGATTTTAGTTAGTTTGTTGTTGTTTTAAGAGTTTGTTTAGAAAACTGCTCTTGTTGACTAGCGAATTCGCGAATTAGCTTTCTTTAGCTATTTTGAATTAAGTTCTCTTGAACGTTTGAGTAGTTGAAAGATAACTACTGTGAGATATTGTAATACTGCACGAATATCTGAGGAGATTTAAGCATTTTTGTTGTGATAATAATAAATTTTGTTCATTTTTTCATCGGACTTGTGCATTCATTTCGTAACGAACCCGTACGCACGCAACAATATGGAGATGCACTCAAAACAATACCAGCCTATGGAAAGTAGTTCGTTAGTGATATTTTTGAGGATGTATTTTCAGGTCTCAGCATACAAAAATTTAAGATGGTTCCTGATCGACCGCAATCGAATACTACAGATTGGATGAATAGAAACATAGTTAAAGTTATTCGCAGTAATGCAAAAAATGGATATTCTTCGCATGACTGTGTGAACGAAATCTCATTTACCTTGAGGACGGCCAAACATGTTTTAAGGTGGGAGATAAGTATGATAGGAAAAGTCTTGAAAACTATGCAGTCTTTTTGTGTGCGTTTGTGTTCACCTAAAGGAAAGATGAAAAAGTATTGTAATAAATTCGAAGACCCCATTTTTTGATTGAGCGAATAAGAGAAACAATCGAATTTTTAAAAGGTCAAAACGGTTATAGTATCAAATCAAACGTGGACCAGATCAAACGCTATTATGAAGGTTTGCTACGAGAGGTTTTTGTGGGAATCGTCAAATGTGAACAACGAAAGGCTACCAAGAAATACGGCAGATATGCCGTCGACATTCGGAATATAAGATCCTGAAACAAAAAGAAAGGAGGTCGGAAATGGTGAAACAGAGGAAAGTTCGACGAGTCCGAGAAAAAGTAGGGCACCGAAAGAAAAAAGCGGGGCACAGTCTGAAAAATGTTAGGGATAACGGGATGCCACGAAGTTAGAAAAGAAAGCTATCAAAAAGGCTCCAAAGATACCGCAGATGTAGCGACTATTCCAGTGATCAACAATGCCTGTTGGGAAGTCAACGAACGAGAAAGCTAGTCATAAGAAACGCTTACAACGACGGGAAGAAGCCGAGGCCACCAAGGCAGAATTTACGCGGCAAACGAGCCCTTGATAACACGCCAGCGCAATCGGTGAAGTTCCTGGAGTACCAAAGGAGGTGTCCGACGGCACATCAAGTAGCAAGAAAGCCGCCGGCCACGCCAGAATTTCCTCAGCTCCAGAAGAAATCTAGACGAATAAAAGACAGCACCCCAAAGACGCAAGTTACTAATTAACGAATTAGGAAATCAACTTATTAGGAATCAGATAAAGACTAAGGATTCGTCACACAAGTACTTTCCCTCCTGGAAAGAATTTGAACGGAAGAGTACCACCGAGACTCTTCCGTTTAAATTCTTGAACCGTTCAAATTCCATTCAAAAGATAAGAATGGAAGAACATCACGGAGGGAAAAGATAAGAGAAATTTATTTTCTATAAGTATTCAGGTTATTAAGTGCTACAATTGCTGTTTATGTTTTGTCTCAAGAAAGGATATCATAGATTTTATTCAACAAGAAGCTTTTTAATTTAATTATGCATCTATCTTGAAAAATATTTGTTCTTAGTTGTTGTTGTTACTAATGCCCACTTGTCGGACCTGAAGTCAGCCCAAGCCCACGAAATTCCTCGTGACAATAGAGCGCAAGTTTACGCCTGTCGTTGAGCACCTTACAGGTGATAGTGTGACGGGTTCGAGGTTCTCCCAGCCATCTCCCCCTACCACCAACCTCTCAAGAGGACTCTCTGTTCGTCGCATATTTAGAGTGCCCCCGTACTGCCCAGACACTATACATTTGCAAACAGCCATGCCTTCTCCGGGATGAGAACCCGGGCTCTTCGGCACGGCAGATGTAACCGCTATGCCTGATGGGCAGCTTGTTTTAGTATAAACATGATACTGTGATTTTAGTTCAAGAGTTTGTATTGAGAAAATTTTGCCCCAATTACAGCATACATATTGGTAATTCTGCATATTGTGATATAAAGTTCAAACTAATTAAATTTTTGAATGTAAATAAATTTCATGTAAATGTGTCTTAATGAAGTATGTTTATTGATTGTTTTCTAACAGCAAAGTGCTCTGTAAACTGTTTTGTAAACGTTAAATATTCGGATATTGTGTATGATAAATTTAAAACACAAGCTACCTAATGATAATGATTTAAAATTAAAGCTAGTGTAGAACATTAGGTGCACTCTTGAAATAAGATGTCCTTTGACATTTAGCGGGTTTTAGCTATTAGCTATTTCCTTTAACAGATAATTTTTGAAAAACTCTGTACATTTTCACACGCATTTACATGCATCACAGTGATGGAGAGCACGGCTGAGAAAATGATTGTAGAGAAAGTGCAAATGTAAAAATGGTTTTGATGAACTTTAAATGTATAAATATTAATGATGTCTTTGCTAAATATTTTTCCTTTTAGATTCCTGGAAAGAGTTCAGAATCAAATAAATGTAATTCTGACATGAAGCTATGTCCACGAAATTTGAAACTTCTGTAAAATTTTTAATTTACTTTAGACTTTTAAATTCATGCTTTGTAAAAGTTTTTGTGGGTTTAGAATTTGAAACCTTAAAAAGGTCGTTAGAGACCTTCGTTGCGATTACTATTCTGATGGAGAAAAATGTAAGATTATTGCTTAAATAGACCAGTTTTTAAGATTTCGGTCTTCACTATAATTTCTCCTTTCCACATTTCTCACCAGAAAGCAAATGAGATAGCCAGTATTAATCTGAGATTTTTGTATTTTAAGACAGAGCGTGTCTCTGGCTTCACTAGTACGCTATGTGTTAGTTCCCTGCTAGCTCTGATAGTTGTAATTATTCAGCCTTGCGTTCTATCGCTGACGACACTTTGATTTTGACCCTTCCTTATAATTACTGAGCCAATTTATGGT